TGGACTGATTTGGGTAAATGAAACTAATCAGCCTCAACATCCTTTACGTCTTTATCTTGTTAGTCAATTTCAGACTTATTGAGAGGGTGAGTGAGGGAGGTCTTCTCTTTTTAGTCTGAAAAATTCAGATCTGAAGTTTCGACAGAAGTCAGATTGACACAAGTGCAAAAAATAGTTAGTTCAACTCATTAGATCGATTCTTTCTGGTTTGAAAGTTAGGTACTCCAGATTTAATAAATTGGTATATGATGAAATTGCTAAAATAATAACACGCTACTCCCCTTAGTCTATATATGAACTGTGTCTTCTTAAAAAAAAAAAAAAAAAAAACAAAATTACATTCCAATAATCCCAATTCAGAATTTCCTAACAGCACAACAGCCTGATATCTTAATTACATTAGCGCTGTATCATTACCAGACGCTGAGCCAAGCTGACGTAAAGAGGCTGCGAAAAAACCAGCCCTGATTTGAGTAATGCCAAGTGTGCGTGTTGACGGTGTGTGCGTAATGTGTGCGTAATATGTGTGTGTGTGTGTGTGTGTGCGTCTGTTAGCCTGGCCTTCCACCGGCGGCTCGACTGAAGAGACAAGGAAACTCAGCACCGCTCCGCACCATATGCCAAAAGTGACTGTGTCGGCCAATTTGCTGCGCTGTGTGGGAGGTGTGGGGGAGATTGGCAAGTGCTAGCTCGGCTGATTTTGTAACAGAGGGCGATGAATAATTGAACATGAACAGATATATAAGCATTTTTTGTGCAGTTAAGGCGTGCCGTTGTGTAGTTTATGGATTATGAGGAGGCAACAAAAAGAAGAAAAAGTTTGGGGACCCTTGAACAACACGGGTGAAACTCCAAAAATGGAAATATAGTTCAAAAGTCCAGTTATCTCAGTAATTCAACTCCCAATCCAACTTCTAAACCAATGTATGATAGACTCAATTAATGCAATGTGAGATATACTAAGCCTTTATTTGCTAAAATGTTGATCATTGACCCACAGCTTGTAAAAATCCAAAATGACAACATTTGAATATTTTGAAACAAAGTAGCCAGTGTCAGCACATTGCAATAAAGGCTAAACATATGTCACTTTGTATTTATACGTGGTTAAATGTTGTTTTTACACTGAGTTGAATAGCAAAAATGAATGAACTTTTGTGAGTTGTAAGTTAGAGTTCATGCCGTCTTGCATAAAAGGAAAAATCCATTAATCATCCACATGATAGAGACGGAGCTAGGTGTGTAAAACCCAAACGTTTAGCTTTCCTCTTGTTACACGACTTGTTACACTGTTATTATGCAAAGTATTGTTCTCAAGTGTGTACTTACAGCTTGAAAGCTTTATCTACAGCCTGTCCGTCCATGGGAGCAAATTCCGCTCTCATCGAGGTTTCTCAATTTTACCACTGGGTTTTGTGTTGTTCTTTGCCGATGCAAGAGAGTCTAAGGAAGTTGATAATCTGGGACATTCTTAAACTAGACTGTGGCACAAGCAGACGCACAGAGTGAGTTTTTATAAAACATTTTTATTTTATTTTTTATTTTTTTTTATGAACAAAAAAAATGCTTTTTTTTTTTATTTACCAAATATGTAACACATTTCCACATTTTACTTTTTTTGTCCCAATTTGTGCCAAACTATGCCAAATGCATTTCCGCTAAGAAAATTCAGAATGGATGGCAGGAGAACTAAGCGAACAGCGCTCCAAGTCATCCTGCTGTTGCCCACTGCAACAGCAATCTGTCAATCACACTGAGTTGCAGCGCCACACTAAAATCCTCACCTGCAGCAATCAGGCCCTGCCCGCATCAGCTTCATATCGCGCAGAAGCTCCATCCAAGCAGCAGCTTCATGCCGCAACCCTCCTCCTCCCCATCTCCACCTTGTTCTAGACCCTCTCCTTTATCCTTCTCCTAGCTACAACCACCAGGGTCTAGGCCCCGGGGGAGTTAATCTCATAATCTTTTTTCCCTTCTGCAATCGTGCAGTGCTCTGCCAGGGTCTAAGCGCCAAATTCCAACCACATTCTGTTCAGCACAATAAATGTAATGTTTGAAATGAAAATATTTCCCTCAGTGTTATATGTGTAATTTATGTAGTGTCAGATTACTTGACAACATACAATTCTAATGCTATGTTTCTAATTCTATGTTTTGTCCATTCGAGTCTCTCCAGATTGAACTGTCTATTTTGTGAAGTCCTCCAAGTTGTGATTCAGGGCTATACAAAAATAATGTAATTGAATTGAGTTTTCTAACCTTCTTCACCTGACCCACATGCAAGCAGAGGGCTTGAAACAGTTACTTGCTGCAGTTTGAAATGTATAAATAGGCCAGCTTTAAAACTGTCAAACAGGAGCAGTAGATGGAGATTGTAGAAAGCAGAACCACTTCTAGCATCTTTTCAAAACTCATACACATTTAGTAGTAGTAGTAAGTCTATATGCAGTAGCGTCCATCACGGTCCCAGGCCCCTATCAAATTCCATGAATGTGCTCCCCTGTCCATCCCTGACGTCTTAAACAGTCCAGTTAATTGTGGCTTCCCTCAAAATAAACCCGCGCTGTAAATTGCAGCCCTGGAAATCGAGATTATAAACGCCACCCTGCATTACTGTATAAATATTCTTTCCCCTTTAATTAACTGAAGAGGCATGCAGACAATTATTGAATAGCCAGTTACTTGTTAATGGCCATAAATTACCGAAGCAAAAAAAAAAGGGGGAAAAAAAAAGAAACAATTGCTTATTTTTACATCAATAATTTGTGGACCTTTTGCTAAACGCTTGTTCATTAGGCCCTCATGGGGACTGTCGGGCCGGGTGTGTTAAGTGACGGAGGAACTGTTGGAGATGGGATGTGGACACGGTGGTAATGTCACGCACTCTTGGGCAGCTGCAGTTGGTAAGGAAGCGGAGGGAAGGAGTTTCAGCTATAATGGATCCATAAATAAATGTCTGCTAATGTATGGGGCGTTCCCATGTTGGATTATTTCTGTTGTTATTCATGCAATGGGATTTGGCATAGTGTCTGTGGGATAGAGCTTATGAGCCCGAATAACGTGGATCATTCATTAGTATTAGGATCTAGTAGTGAACACATTTTATTGTGAAATATTAGTGAAACTGTCTTTTTCACTTTTGTAAACGGAGTTTTTGATCCCCTGAGTGATCCGATTTTATGCAATTACATGTGCATTTCTCCATTGAGAGATCAATGACGTTTTAATCTGATCTTATCTTATGTGATCATATTGATAAGACTTATAAGCCGGGGGACCTCACTTTTTTTGTTTCATAAAAAGCACATGTTGTTTGTCTCAGCAGAAAGAAGAATTCTAAAAGTACCAATCAAGAAGTTTATTATACAACATTTATATTTTCCTACATGTAAAGAAAGAGTCCAGGGTAATTCACCATATGACGCTCCTGGGACCGAGAGCTGAAATTCATTTTTCACATTTCTGTCTGTAAAAAGCTTAAACTAAAGATGTAGAGTGGATCTGCCTGCATGGGAGTGAAGTCTCTCTCACTGTGGGCTCGAGGTTTTTCTTTTCTCCTGTTGGATTTTTGAGTCGTTCTTGCTGAACAGGAGCGTCTAAGTAACGCACATAACTACCAGGGCAGGGCTGGTTATACTGGTGATGGGAGACCTCTGGGATCACCAGGTGACACAAGGGGGCGCTGCGGCTGTGAAGTGCCAAACTGTCCCGCTGTTCCCTTAGGAAAGACTCTCAACCCAGATTGCTAGAAATGAGTCCCCTGGTGTCAATAGTTGGCAGTGGAACAGGGCCGGATGGCACATAACTGGTTTGCTCTCTTCTGTCATGTGCCCAAGGGCAGCGGGGCTATAGTATTAGTTTATCACCACCCGTGTAAGGAATGAAAGAATAAATGACGTAATGTGAAGCGTCTTTGCGAGTTTCCTGAAAAGTGCTGGATAAAAGCAGATAATTTTTAAATTAGGGACATGGTCATGCCTCTCCAATCGACACTGTGTGCAACACCTGGTCCCCATCCTGAAAGTTACCAGGCCCCATCTGCCTTAACGCCAGGAAGCAGCCTGTCCTTCGAGTAGGTAAACTAGGTAACCTGCTGTCGGGCAAAGCCTCTTCGAAATTATGAGTGGCTATGATGGCCAAAAGTATAGAATTTTCATTTACTTTTTGGGTGGTTTGAAGTGATCTGTTAGGATAGAGCTGCGTTCAAGCAAAAAAGACTGAATCATTATTTGCAATTCACAAAAAAAAATGACAATCAAACCTTTTTGGTGCATCGTATAGGATGTTGGTTTAGTTTGCGCCTGAGGCAAGATGAGCGGACGCATTTGTTTCGGAGCCTTTTTTTGAACTGCACACTTTTTTGGATTTATATTTTTTAACTAAGCTTTTAATTACTGTTTTTATTCGTAACAACTGATGGATTAAGCGATTATACAGTTGTGCCACAACAGGATTACTGTCACTTTTAACTGGACTGTAATATCCGCCTTTTAACAGTTTACCGCGGTAAACCAGCCTGCCACATACGGCCACCATGGACACAGCCGCTCCCCCCGAGAAACTCATACAGACAAACTACAATCACAACTTGCTTCAATCTTCCATCCAAACAGTAAACGCAATGACCCCTCGAGGAACTTCAACGCCAGTGGTACACAACTATACCACTGAACTCATACATGAAAGAGAAACTTCTGGAACATTTCATGGACATCTCATTCAAGCAGTCACAGCACATATCCTCTCCGTTCATAGACATCACAGCTCGCTACCACACTCCACGACACTGCTCTTTGGGATCACATCACCTGTCCTCACCCTCATCATCCAACCCCGGTCCTCACCTCACGTTCCCCCGGTTGCGGCTGTTCCTCTGTCCCTCCCGGTGCTCTCCCTCCCTACGGTCCCGGAGCTGCTGCCATACCCAGACGGCGCGGAGGACAGAGGCCTGGAGACCAAAAAGGGGGGGGGGGGGGGGGGGGGGGGGGAAAAAAGGAAAAATGGGGGGGGGGGGGGGGGGGGGGGGGGGGGGGGGGGGGGGGGGGGGGGGGGGGGGGGGGGGGGGGGAAAAATATAAATGTGAAAACATAATATATAGGGGGGTGGGGGGGGGGGGGGGGGGTATTGGGGGGTTTATTTTTTTTTTATATTATATTTTTTGGGGGGGGGGGGGGGGGGGGGGGGGGGGGGGGGGGGGGGGGGGGGGGGGGGGGGGGGGGGGGGGGGGGGGGTTTTTTTTTTTTTTGGGGGTTTTTGGTTTGTGTGGGGGGGGGGGGGGGGGGGGGGGGGGGTGGGGTGGGGGGGGGTTGTTAGGTATATGGGGTTGTTTTGTGATGGGGGGGGTGGGGGGATGGGGGGGTATGATGGAGGGGGGGGTGGAGGAAAATAGGGGAGTTTTATGGAGGAGGGAGAAAAGGGGATAGATGGTAATTAGGAGGGGTTAAAAGGGGGGGTGAGAGGGGGACCTAACGTGGCGCAGGATACCTCCGGGAGCGCTGTCCCGGCCTGGGGAGGGTCCGTGTGCTCTGACGCGGAGGGATTCCCCAGAGGCGCTGCCAGAGCAGGGTCCTATGCCTGAGGTGGCCGCGTAGGGGGGGCTCTGCCTACATCACGGCGCAGAGTTCCGTCCCGTGGACGCTGCCCTCGCCCGCGGGGGGGGGGTCGCGCTCCATTACGGCGCGGGGACTCTTCCCGTGGACGCTGGCCTCACTCGCGGGGGGGTCTCTGGCGCTGTTGCACGGCGAGGGAGTTCCCCCGCAGATGCCCCCTCGCCTCCTGGTGATCCCCCCGCCCGGTGCCGCCCCCCCCCCACCCCCCCTCCCACATTCGCCACACTACCACCACCACCAACCCGGCCACAGTGGAGTCATTCGGTCTCCCGGATCCTCCACCCTGCTCCACAGCCGCCGTGGACGGCTCCGATCCGGCACCCCCCAAGGCGCTCTGTCCCCGCTCTCCACCAGGTCCCACCAGTCACACCCTCCCCCTCCGCGCCTCTGGTTGCACAACCACGCTCCTGGTGGGTGATTCCTATTATCAGACCACTGCAAGTTTTTTAAATGCCATCACACACTGTTTTTTCTGATGCCACAGCCCCCACCATCCTCATTAAACTACCCTCACTTGTTTGGAGCCTTTTTTGAGCTGCACGTTTTTTATGATTTATTTTTAAACTAAGTTTCTTTTACAACTGGTTTTATTTGCCCTACTCGACGGAGTAAGCGGATTTTAACAGACTGCATAAAAAAGGATTACTGTCACTTTTAACAGGACTGTTTATCAGCCTTTTACCGGTAACCAGCCTGCCCACACACATCACCATGGACACCGATGCTCCCCCCGCCAACTCATACAAACAAATATACAAATCACAACTGGCTTCAATCCTCCCATCCAAACCTGTAAACACCATGACCCCCGAGGAACTTCAGCGCACTGTCAAAGAACTATCCACCGAACTCATACATAAAGAGAAACTTCTGGAACATTTCATGGACATATCATTCAAACAGTCACAGCAAATATCCCTCTCCGTACTCAGACAATCACAGCTCCACGACACTGCACTCTGGGATCCAATCGCCTGTCCTCACCCCTCATCATGCTCTACCCCGGTGCTTACCTCACGCTCCCCGGTTGCAGCTGTCCCTCTTGGTGCTCTTCCCTCCTCTACGGTCCCGGAGCCTGCTGCCCATACCCAGAGCGGCGTGGAGCAGAGGCCTGGAGGCCACACGACATCCACGGCGTCCTCGCGCCGCAGGTTGGTGGAGGAGGCTGTGCGCAGACGCTCGGGGAGCTTCCCACGCTCTAAAACAGCGCGGGGCTCTCCGGGTGTCACGCAGGACCAACTGCGGGAAGCCCCGGGGGGATCTCTGTGCCCCGACGCGGCACCGGATACCCCCCGGGAGCGCTGTCCCTGCTGTGGGAGGGTCCGTGCGCTCTGACGCGGAGGGAATCCCCAGAGGCGAGACACAAAGCAGGTCCTACGCTGAGGTGGCCGCGGGGGGACCTCTGCGCCGTGCCGCGGCGCAGAGTCCTCCCGTAGTTGCTGCCTCGCCCGCGGGGGGGTCTCTGCGCTTTATCTCAGCGCGGAGCTCCCCCGCGGAGGCTGTCTCGCCTGCTGGAGGATCTCTCCGCCCGGTGCATGGCCCTCCCACAACCGCCCGCACTACCACCACCACCAACCCCGCTGCAGGGGCGCCGGTTCGGTCTCCGGCTCCCTCCTTCTGCTCCACTGCAGCTCACGGGGCTCGCAGCAGCTCTGCTCCGGGCGCATCCCAACGCTCTCCTGTCCCCTGCTCTCCCCCGGGTCCTACTCCAGTCACTCCCTCCCCTCCACGACCTCTGTTCGCACCAACTACACTCCTGGTGGGGGACTCTATCATCAAACACTGTAAGTTCTTCAATGCCATCACGCACTGCTTTCCCGGAGCCACTGTCCCTACCATCCTCACTAAACTACCCGCACTTCTACAGACAGCACCCCCCACAATAACCCGGATCATAATTCATGTCAAATGACATGAATGTACAAATGACATACAAATGATGCTGCACTCCGCCAATCTGAAATCACCAAACTCCATTTTAAGGACCTTTTTAACCTTTTATCAAAAACCGGAAAAAGTGTTTTTATCTCTGGCCCTCTGCCCACGTTGAACCGGGGCGTGGAACGTTTTAGCAGGATACTATCACTCACCACTTGGCTTCAAAAATCATCACAGCAGCACAACTTTGGTTTTATTGACAATTTTAATTTGTTCTGGAACCGCCACCCCTTCTTCACACCCGATGGACTCCATATCAATAAACTCGGCACCCGGTACCTGATTTCAAACATCACCCACTCAGTTCAATCCCGTCCCCCGCACCTCTGACAACCCATCACTCCATCCCACATCATTCCTGCCCCGCTGGACTCCAACATCAGTCCCTGCTCCCCCCCCCAACAAGGAATTTCAGTTCTGTCCAGACCCCGCCCCTACAGACCGTCCATACTCCGGAAACCGTCCCTCAACACCCTCATCCCTGTTGCCCTTTGCTCCTCCACATCATCTTCTCCCCTCACTACAAACAAAAATGACTCTCCATCCACCATCAGGTTTGCTCTTTTAAATGTACGCTCTCTTTTAAATAGAACTTTTATCATTAATGATTTGATTTTACAACACAAACTGGATGCTATGTTTTTAACTGAGACCTGGCTGGGTCCGGATGCTCCGGCTGTTCTCACAGAGACCTCCCCTCCCGATTTTAGCTTTGCTTTTAAAACAAGAGAAGGAAGAAGAGGTGGTGGCACAGCCTCAATTTGGAAAAACACCCCTGGCCACCAAAACCATTAATTTTAACCAATACTCAAGTTTTGAGTATCATGCCCTTGTTTTTAGCAGCCCCGAAATTTTAGCAGTAACCATCTATCGGCCACCAAAAAAGTGCAGCCGTTTTATCAATGAATTTTCAGAGTTTTTATCTTTGTTATACAATTCCTATAATAGGATTGTTTTAACCGGTGATTTTAACATCCACTTTGACAACCCATCAGACCATTTTACCTGCGAGTTTGTAAGTATTTTAAATTACATGGATTTTACTCAACATGTCACACAGCCGACGCACAACAGAGGGCACACCCTCGACCTGGTCATTACTTATGGCCTGAGTGCGGGTGTGTCCTCTGTTGTTGACCTGGCTATCTCTGACCACTATTGTGTGTTTTTTAAAATCACTGGTTTTGTTAAACAGGAGACCTCTGTGAGAACTGTGAAGAAACGACGTCTAACCCCTGAAGTGGCTGCAAATTTTATGGACATTCTAAATAACACTCCTCAGTTGGTTTTACCTGCCCCCTGTGATTTTATAGCAGATGATTTTAACAGTAGACTAAGAACTACACTGGATCAGGTTGCTCCATTAAAAATTGTAAGCATTCAACAAAAATCTATAGCCCCTTGGAAAAATGAGGAAGCAAGGAGTATGAAAAGACAGTGCAGGGTGGCAGAGCGAAGATGGAGAAAAAATAAAACGACAATCAATCACGAAATATATAAAAACCGACAGCAAATTTACAACAACACAATCAGGAAAAACAGGAACAATTACTTTGCAAAACTAATCAGCCAGAACAAAAATAATCCAAAAATCCTCTTTTCAACCATCGACACCATTTTAAACCCTGATTTTAGCATGTCTCTTTTAACCCCCACAGACTCCCTCTGTGAGGATTTTGCAGTCCACTTCATGGGGAAGATAAATACAATCAGATGTAACATTTTATCCAACCGCACAACTGTTTTTAACACATTTGATTGTTTGTCTTCACCAGAGGAAACACTGGACAGTTTTGTCCTGGTTGATGCTGAGATGCTTGATAAAGTTTTCTCCTCAGTGAGGCCCACCACATGTCTTTTAGATCCAGTCCCCACTCCATTTTTTAAGTCATTTTATGAATCTTTTAGAGAGGAGCTTTTAAACCTGATGAATTGCTCTCTTCAGACTGGGGTCTTTCCTGCAGCCTTCAAAGCGGCTGTGGTGAGGCCCCTTCTGAAGAAGAGCAATTTGAATTTTAATGATTTTAACAACTACAGACCGGTATCCAACTTACCATTTTTAAGCAAAATTTTAGAAAAACTTGTTTTTACCCAGCTCAATGCCTTTTTAGATCAGCAGCAAATTTTAGAGAAATTTCAATCAGGATTTAGGGTGAACCACAGCACAGAGACTGCTCTTTTAAAGATTTTAAATGATTTTAGACTAAATTATGATTCTAAAAAGGTGACCGTGTTGGTTCTACTGGATCTAAGCCCTGCCTTTGATACAGTAGACCACACCATTCTTTTATCCCGCCTGAAACACCTCGGCCTCTCTGGTGCTGTCCACAAATGGTTCACTTCTTATTTAACAGACAGATCCTTCATGGTAAGTTTGGATACCTGCTCCTCTCAGGTCCATAAAATCACATGTGGTGTGCCCCAGGGTTCCATTTTAGGTCCAGTCCTTTTTAACCTGTACATGCTCCCTCTTGGCGGTGTCATCAGGAGACATGGAATTGACTTCCACAGTTATGCAGATGATACACAGCTGTACATCTCCATGTCTCCTGATGACACCAGGCCAATGGATGCTCTTTTTAACTGCATTTTAGACCTGAAATCCTGGATGGCAGAAAACTTTCTCCAGCTCAACCAGGACAAAACTGAGGTTTTAGTCATCGGTCCTGAGGCCCAGAGAGAGAAACTTTTACCGAAACTCCAATCACACTCTTTTAATCCATCATCACAAGTGAAAAACCTGGGCGTAATCTTTGACTCTGAGCTGACTTTTATTCCTCACATCAAGAACATCACAAAAATAGGTTTTTATCATTTAAAGAACATCGCCAGAGTCCGCCCCATTCTCTCTCGGGCCAACACGGAGACGCTGATGC